GATAATGGATGATCAAAATTCTCATTTTTGAAGTTATGGGACTATATTTCGGTCATATGGAGTCTCCTGTAGCTTACAGATCTAGAAAATTCTCTGTCGGGCGCTTCCAATGTAAATTAGGGATTTTGGTGTTAGATCGGCACCTATGTGCCTACTTCTGGTACTTAGGAGCCCAAAATGCCTTCTTGAATGTTTAAAACTAAGCCCCTAGAAGTCTGACACCAATTTCTGGTGCCTAGGCACCAGTCCCAGGCTCCAAGGCCCCAGTCTCGGGTGTCTAGGCGCCCAAAATTGCTAAAAAACAGTCATTTTCTCGAGCCCCCAGAAAGTAAACACCACACTTGTGGCACCTAGATGTCAGAGCCCTGAAGAAGCACTCAAAAGCACACAGTCGCTAGGGGTATTAAGAGCGCCAAGAAAATTCGCAGCGTAACTACATCTCAAAAGTGTAGCCATGTCAAGGGGGTCCTTCGTTCTGGCTTTATTTTCTAGCGATCGGAATGTTTGCAACACTTTTGAGTGTGGTCACACTGTCGAGACAGTCTCTCACGATTCAAGTTACGAAGGCTATCTATCTCGCGTTCGGTGCTTCTCGAAAGGGACTTTTTGCAAAGGTGAATTTTCGGGAAGGTGGAATTCTGAGTGATGTAATCTGTAAGTTTCTTCAATTCTTAATGAAATTGATTGGTGGTGTGGCTACATTTTTTCATATTCTTTATTTTTTTTCACGTAAATATTGGAGTGTTTTTTTTATTATTTTTTATTGTGCTTCTATCGAAATTTTACTCTAAATTTCTTGAAATATTGATATCTAATTGATCGAATCACTGGTTTTATATTTCCATCCAGTACACAAGTACTCAATCTCATAAAACAAGTGAACATAGCAACTAGCTTAAAAGATGAAAGAAAAAAAAATGCAAATCCAAATAAGCTCATGTAATAAATGAAAACCATAATTAATAAATGAGGTTTAAAATGTGACTGAAAATCTTAGTAATTAGAAATTTATTTGGACTTGTGACCAAATCCTATGTTTTTTTGTCATAACTCCCTCATTTATTGACAGAATTGACCGATTTTGGTATCATGTGAAAGGTACCAAAATTTTCTACAACCCTTGTGTTATACATATCAGGCAATTTTGAGCATATTTGCTACAGTTTCTACAAGTGTTTGCTAAAATGAAATTTGCTTTATAACGTGCGACCCTCGCCTTTTATTGTTTACAACTCGCTTAACTATTGATGAAATGGATCGATTTTGGTATCATTGTAAAGGTAACAAAATTTTATACAACTTTTGTATTATTCACATCAGCCAATTTTAAGTATATTATCTACAATTATTAACAATTCTTGCGAAGTGACACTAGCTCCAACATTAGAAAAAAATAAAAAATCTTCATGAGAACAAAAGAGCAAGGCAATCCTTGTCTTCCTGCACCTCCCCTTTTGTAAATCAATTGTAAATAAAAGAGGAAGGCAACCTCAATAAAAATTATCACTATGCCTCTGATTACATAGACAAAAGAACCCAAGAAAACACACATAGATGGCGAGAAAGAATGACAAGCTTGGCAAGATGGGATTTAAGAATATGTAGTTAAGGCGAAATATAGGTAAATGAGATTTAAGAACATGTAGGATTTAGAGATGTCACAGTTCCCCCTTAGTTTTAACTAACATTTCAATGATTTTTTATTGAGATTTTTCATTTCATATTCAATCAATATCTTACGAGTTTGAGCTCTAATATCACTTAATTTTTATGTATGCACATAAATTTAAAATTTTAGATATTTACATATCTAAACATCTAATACCCAAATTTATTTTTTTGAAAATAAGGGCAATGTAGCAACATGATCATGTGTGTCCAAGTGACTTTATCACGTGTGCCGCGTGAGGACATTGTTTCGACACATGACAAGGAGTTTTTGCTGCTTCAAATTAAAATATTAAATTTAGAAAATTACTATTTTCAAAATTTATTCCGAGGTTATATATCTGTACCTGCTGTTCCACAAATAAATAAATCAATCAATAAATACAGTGATTAGCCCTTTATAAAAAGAAGTTTTGGATTTGAAATTTAGTTATTTCATTTTTCTTGAATTTGAAATTCAGCTGAGTTGGTCCAAATGTAAAACACTTCTTAATGTAAAGTGGCATATCCGTTGCTGGAAACATTCATAACTGCCCCGCCCCGCTACTCCCCCGATCACCGCCCTGACCCTCGCTGTCATCGACTGTCATAGCCGGCCAAAACAAAGATGTCGGAGGCCACCGAAAATCACCACCCACTGGCCGCTGCTACAGGCAGCCATCACCGGCCAACATTGACTTCTCCGTCTGCTAGCCGACAAATACCAACAACCACTACCCATCGTCGAACGCCATTGTTGGTCATCGCTGCCCTTAGTGACACGCCAACAACTGTCCGCCAATGCTCACAACCACCTCCAACCACCATCGCCACTACCAGCCACCACCTTCGGCAACGATCAAGCTCACTGTTACGGTGACTCCCAATTATGCAAAAGCTATGTTTATAAGGAGGTTTAAATAACTATTAGATAAAACGGTCATTTGGCTATTTAAAGGTGTTTAACCGGTCTTCTTTTATGGGTCATTGGTCTATATATATGTAATGATGTATATGAGTTGTGAGCGTTAAGGGAGAGAGTAATTCTAAGAGCAAGGTGATGAACCAAGAAAGAGAAGAACAACATCTTGGATAGAGCTCATAGCGTGATAATTTTGAGCTTGGGTGACAAAGCTTTGAGGGAAGTGTCAAGGGAGACAACGGCTCATGCCCCTCGGTATTAGGTGGAGAGAATCTCTATTATGGAGTTTTGTAATTGGAAGTCAAGGTGGAGATTTGTTATGGTTACTTCATATTATGCGAACTAAGACAAAGCCGTGTTTATAAGGAGGTTTAAATAGCTAATGGGTACAACGGTCATTTGGTTATTTAAATGTGTTTAACCGGTCATCTTGTATGGGTCATTGGTTTATATTTATGTAATGATGTATATGAGTTGAGAGGGTTAAATGGGAGATAAATTATGAGAGATTAAGGTGAGGAACCAAGAAAGCCTCAATCGAGATCAAGATCGACAGAGAGCTTAGAACCAAGAAAGCTTGTATCAAGATCAAGATTGATAGAGAGCTTGAGGAGATTGGTTCGTCCTTGATTTCGTGTGGTATAATCTTTAAGATTGTCTTAGTGAATTGTTTTTTGATTCCCTCCCGTGGATGTAGGTCCTAAGGGCCGAACTATGTAAATTCTCAGTGTTCTTGTTTGCATTTCCTCTTTGCGTTTTTTTTTTCCTTTTCCCGTCTTATTGTCCTGTGGTTTTCTTTGCGATGCAGATTTTCAACAATTGGATCCATCTGTGGGAATTCTAGACACTACAATGGGATCTGCTAAATTCAACATCAAGAAATTCACTAAAAACGACGATGGGATCTGCTAAGTTCGACATCGAGAAATTGACCGGAAAGAACGATTTCAGCTTGTGGAGAGTCAAGATGACAGTCCTATTGGTGAAGCAAGATGTCGCGGAAGCATTGCAAGGACCGGCGACATGGTAGGTCGAAATGCCCAAGAGGGAGGAGAACAATATCTTGGACTGAGCTCACAGCATGATAATCTTTGTAATTGGAAGTCAAGGTGGAAATTTGTTATGATGACTCACAAATATGTGAACTAAGACAAAGCCGTGTTTATAAGAAGGTTTAAATAGCTAATGGGTACAATGGTCATTTGGCTATTTAAATATGTTTAACTGGTTTTCTTGTATTGGTCATTGGTTTATATATATGTAATGATGTATATGAGTTATGAGGGTTAAGGAAGAGAGAAATTCTAAGAGCAATTTGAGAAACCAAGAAAGCTTTCATCAAGATCAAGATCGATAGAGAGCTTGGAACCAAGAAAGCTTATGTCGAGATCAAGATCAATAGAGAGCTTGAGAAGATTGGTTCGTCATTGATTTTGTGCGATGTAATCTTCAAGATTGTCTTAGTGAATTGTTTTTTTATTCCCTCTCTTCGATATAGGTCCTATGGACCGAACAAGGTAAATTCTCGGTATTTTTGTTTACATTCCACTTTGCGGTTTTTATTTTCCTCGCTTTGCTGTCCTGCGGCATTCTTGACAGTAGATTTCACAACAATTGGTGTCGTCTGTGGGAATTTTATCCACGACAATGGATATCGTCAAATTTGACATCGAGAAATTCACCGGAAAGAATGATTTTGACTTGTGGAGAGTTAAGATGATAGCTCTGTTGGTGCAGCAAGGGGTCGCCGAAGCACTGCAAGGTCCTATGGTATTGCCAGCCGAAATCTCCGAGCAAGACAAGAAAGAAAACAGTTGGTTAGAGAAAGAAGATGATAGGCTTCAAGAAATTGAGGAGTGCATCTTAGGGATTTTGTATCGAGTTGGTTAGAGAGAGAGAATGCAAGAGAGCTCATCTCTCAATGAAAAGCTATGTAAATATTGTTTTAATGACTTAATGGATTAATGGTTGATTTCTATCTCATGTGATTGGCGGTGCAGATTTTCAACACCCACCACTATCGCCCACCATGATCGCTAGCCACCAACATGACTCAACCTTACCGGTCAACACTAACACCATCAACGTACTCTTTACTTTAAAATAAACTAGATTCAGATTATTTTAAAACAAATAAAAAATATAAAATAATTAACTTATTTTATATCGAATCAAATAATTTTAAAATACATTACTAACTGCATTTTATTTTTTTATTCAGAAAATCAAACAGCTCATGCTATCACAAATTCACAATCAGAGGAAGCTTGGTTGTAGTCAGCCCATCTTTTTATTCCGTCGGCACTAGCCCATCAAGAATTGAACCGGCCCCTGGAACAAAAATACAATTAACAGCCCGAACAACAAACCAATCGACTGCCACGTCCTCCCTTCCCTCCCTTCCCCACTCCGCCACGCGTCTAACTCAGTACCGTGCCAAAACCTCCACATGCCACATGTCCCTCATCTTCCTCATTCCTCACCCGTACAAAGCACCATCCTCCTTCCTCCATTCTCCACAAATTGCATCAAACATCTTGCCTGCCCGTTCACCATAGACTGCAAACCCTTCTCCTTCCTCTTCCTCTGAAGATGTCGGGCCTCTCGTTAGCCGTCGCACCACGCTCCGTTCCACCCTCATCAACCCCCCCAGACACTGTAAAGACCCAAAGCGTGATGGGCGGCGTCATGGGTTCTCTCCGAGTTATCGAGCTACAGCTCGTAGCCTTCATAATGGTCTTCTCCGCAAGCGGCCTCGTTCCATTATTAGACCTCGTTTTCCCCGCCTTCGCCACAATCTACGCAATCCTGCTATCCCGATTCGTATTCCGATCTTCCAAACATCCTTCCAGCGAACCGAGCCAGGTTTTTCACGGATCGCGAATGTTCCAACTCTATGTAGTCATAGGCACCACGCTGGGCCTTTTCTTGCCGCTCGCGTACGTGCTCGGCGGCTTTGCTCGGGGGGATGATCATGCGGTGAGATCCGCAACCCCGCACCTCTTCCTTCTTTCCTGTCAGATCTTGACCGAAAATGTTATCAGCGGGCTGTCGCTCTTCTCGCCGCCGGTAAGGGCGATCGTTCCGCTTCTCTATACCGTGCGGCGGATCTTTGTGATTGTCGACTGGAACCAGGATGTGTGGTTCAACAAGACGGTTCCGGCAGTAGCTTCCGTGAAGGATTTGACATGGCTTTGGTTTGGGAGGGGATTGGCGACTGTTAATCTGGTTTACTTTTCGGTGAATCTGTTTGGGTTTTTGATTCCGAGGTTCTTACCGAGGGCGTTCGAGAGGTATTTCAGGGAGAGGGATGAGGCTCAGGTGAAGATGGGGGAGAAGGAGCCGGCCGGCGGTGATACGGCGGTGGAGGACAAGGGAGAAGAGTTGAAGAAGGATGAATGAATGAGGAGCGGTTGGTTTTATGTTACATTTGTCTTTTTGCTTGCAGGTTGAATCTTTAGTGTAGAGAAGTGGGTGTCATTGATTGTTTGTCTTTAGGGTTTGTAGTTTCTATATATGGAAATGGTTTTTTACTTATTTTATATTTGCGTGATACAGAGAAACATAAAAGATGGTTTTACTTTTTAGCATAAAAAAATGGTTTGGATAAGATGAGTGGAATTAAAAATAAAATTTGATGGAGATTTGGGAATATTATAATGATGTTATGTTGTCTTCATAGTTTGGGTGCATAACAATGGTTTGATATTTTCATGAACTTGGATGAGATTATATAAAATTTTTGTTGTGAGATATGTACTTCCTGACATAGAAATGAGATGTAAAGAACACAAGCAAACACAGATCGTTTACGTGGTTCGATCCAACTGGATCTACGTCCACGGAAGAGAATCAATCAAATAGTTCACCAAGGCAAAATAAATGGAGAATACATAGCTTATACATAGCTCTATAGCTATTCTCTCCTCTTTTGTGGTAGCTTAAGATCTCTTCTCCCTTTCCTCTCCTAAGCCTCACACCCTTAAGATTTCTTCCCTTGCTCTCCTAAGCCTCACACCCTCTCTATTTATAGAAGCAAGAGAGTGGTAGGTGGGAGGTAGGTGAGCGGTAAGTGAGCGGTAGGTAAACGGTAGATGAACGGTATGTGAGATGTGGTAGGTAAGCGGTACCACATTACAAAAGTATCCTTTTATTTTAGTTCATTAATTGGGGGTCAAAATAATAATTCTCCACCTGGACCCTCAATTGAGAAGCTTCAAAGTAAAGATTCTCTCCACCTGGCCCCTGAGGGGCCCTCAGCCCTTGCTTGAGTTTGCTAAGTCCAAACAGTACATGGACTTAGCAATCACGGTTCTTCCGATAAGGGAGTACAACCCATTTTTCCTGATTCCTTGTATGACGATCTTCTCCTTCTCGGTCATGTCAGCCGGCACCCTTGCAAGGCTTCTGCAACACCCTACTGAACCAATAGAACTCTCATATTTACTCTCCATAGGCCGAAGTCGTTCTTCTCATTGAATTTTTTAATGTCGAATTTGAGGGAACTCATTGTCGTGGCTAGGATTTCTTCCAATGAATTCTACCTGCTGCCCTTCCAAGAACTAGACTTCTCCCTGTGAACTCCACCACCTTCGTCAACCGAACGGAGAGATCTCTTCCCTTGCTCTCCTAAGCCTCACACTCTCTCTATTTATAGAAGCAAGAGAGTGGTAGGTGGGAAGTAGGTGAGCGGTAAGTGAGCGGTAGGTGAACGGTAGATGAACGGTTGGTGAGATGTGGTAGGTGAGCGGTACCACATTACAAAATTGCTCTTTTACTTTAGTTCATTAATTGGGGGTTAAAATAACAACTTTCATAATTAATTTTAAAAAAGAAGGTTTTCTAGTTCATATTTAGGCAAAAATTTTATTATGAAATAAAATAAATACACAAGAAAATGAAATATAAAACTTAATAGCTATGTACCCTTTTTTTTTTTTAAATATGCCCTTTATGATTGCATATTATTGGAGATCAACCTTATTGTTTAATGTAGTGTGTGTGTTGATAGGGAGGGCATTTGAAGGAGATGTTGTGAGGAACACATCTTTAAAATTGATCTCAAAATAATAGTAGATTATTGCAAAGTGTTTTATGTGAGGTGAAAATTAGGATTAGCATAAACGGGTCACACTAATATTGTCATGATAGAAAATAGGAATATTTAATTTTTAGCATATCCAACATGTTTTCATGGTGGTGGTGGTGATGTAGAATGTCAATATTCAACCTTAATAAAAGTGTGAGTTAATACATGTTTTGTTAAGAACTATGAGATAGGAGTCATCAGATTAAAATAAATAACTTAAGCACTTAGTGGTGTGGCATTGGGATTGACAACAATCACATAAATCACAAATATACCTTTTATAAGACAGTTTCTAAAGAAATTAGGGTATCTTTGATAAGAATTAGTAATGCAAAAATTCAAATTTTAGTTCAAATTTTTTAAAGGATAGCTAAGATAAATGAGCAATGAATCTTTTCAACTATATATAATCAATGATACATAGGTATTTAATAAAATCATGACGTTGCACCACGGGTACATCTTCAAAGGCACACATCCTTGCATGCAAGGTTTGGAAGTCTTTTTTATTTTTATTTTTTTATTTACTTTTTCTTTTTTCCTTCTTTTTTTTCCATCTTAGGTGTTGTTCCACCATAGGTTTATTGAAGTTCCAAACATTAATTTTAACTATTATCACTACTATTTTCAGGAAAAATAAGCACCATAATTTCAGCCGTCTTTGATAACATCATGCATGAGGACGACCTTCTACATTCCACCCTATCTATTATAAATACCCAATCATTAAATAAGAGGTTATGAAGGTAGCATAAGCTGAAGCAGACAACTGAATTCACACAACATATATGACAGCTTGTGAGGTTAATCATTCTAGTAAAAGCTCTCTCTCTCTATCTCTCTTTCTCTCTCTCTTTATGTGTGGGTGTGTGTGACACAGAAGGTCCCACATATACCACATTCTACAGTATCAAGATTGTGTGATCCCACGATTGTGAGATTCCACACGCCATATAATTAATCCCACGAACACTAGATGGTGAACATGATTGAATCACGTCCCGATAGGAAGATTTTTTGCCATCCCCAAGCAAGACGAGCAGGGCTTCTCAATATTTATTGATGCCAACCCCTGAGGAACCATTTTTAATATTTATTTAATTAAAATTATGACTTTTGCGAGAAAATTATTTATATTTTGTTATTTCTTTTTTTTTTTAGAGTTTTGTAATTGTTCTTATGTTTAATGACATTTTTCTTTATTTTATGCTCTCAAAATTTTATATCTTTTCTTTGTGCAAGTTGTGTGTCAGTTTCTTGCTCTAGAATAGGTGGTGAAACCTCTTTGTTGTTCGTGCATCGTCGTTTCAGAGTTTTCTTTGAAGTTTTCTACGTAGATAGCTATCGAAAGCCATTTATCCTCCTCTAATATCTTTGATTGCGCATATTAACATCCTCTAATTGCTATTCCAAAATCACCTCCCCACAAAACCCTCTTCCTAAACACCTTCTAGGAGCCTTAGAATGATGTCACTCTCTCTCTCTTATGTGTGTGTGTTTGTCATTGATGTGAATTTTCTCTCTCTTTCATAGCTTTCATGCTTACGAAACTTCTCCCAACTTTACCATTTGTTGTAATATCCATCTTTTATAATATCTTTCAATTACAAATTTACCCACTTATATTCTTCTTCTTTTTTTAATCCCTTCTCTTTCTTGAGGAAGCTAATTCCTTACTTAGAAGTTTGTCACTTATGCTTGCAAAGCTTGGGTGTATTTTTGATAGATAGGCTGATGGGTAAATTTAAGATTTGGCGTATGGCAAGAGGTTGGTATGGTTAGGGAGATTGTGGAATGGTTGTTGGAGCTATCTAATAGACTGAGGGAATTTAGGTCATTGGATTTTAGGAAGGCTAAGGTTCTTCATAGGGAGAGATGCATATTTATTGTTTTACCATCGAGTAATTTTATAGATGGAGGAACAATTGATAACAAATGTAGAAACCATGATAACATTTCTAATTTTGAAAAATGTTAATAGATTATTTTGATATGTGTAAATTTATTACAACAAACCTTTCATGCCCAAAAATATAGTTTTGAAGGTGTATGGGTGACTGAGAGACTAACCAAAAACGACATGCATAATAGAATATTTTCCAATTTTATAAGATAAGCAGGTATGATGTTACGGATAATATAAATAGTCAAAAATTAAATATTTTGAAAATTATGAGGATATCTAAGGATTTTAGCATTTAAAAAGAGTTCAAGGGTGGTTGTTGGCATGTTATTAATATAATAGACTATATGTAACGATGTCATTTTAAAAGTCATTATGTTCGAAAGCATATAATGGACTGAAAAGGTAGAAAACTTTGATTTTAGAGGTGCTTATGTTAAGAGCTTGATAATCCCCTCTATTTTTTTTTATTATAGTGGGGTGACAAAATCTTTAAACTGAATAAAAACAGCATGAACATAAATTTTTTTATTTAAATAGATAATATCATATATATGTTGTTAATTGATCAATAAAAATAGCATAACAATTGAAGTTATTATCATACATAATAAAAAATGTCTTCAAAAGGATGTCAAGTGTTAAATGAAAAATATACAAATAAGAGTTTATTACTTTTATTGTATTGACGTACATGCTAAAAAATGTATTAAGGAACTCAATAGAGCTTAAAAAGGAAGAAACAAGATGCATAAATATACTAGGCTAAGAAAAATGTCCCTATTTGTAGTGCCGCACAACACGGGCTTTAACACTTTAGAAAATATTAAGAGTCCGTTTGGGGCGGCTTATAAGTGCGGGCGGCATTTTCAAAAATTCAAAACGCTGTCGTACCGTTTGGTTCGCGCGTTTCGTCAGTTTATCCGAAACTGTTTTGGGTTTTTACACTAAACGCAGGCCGCGGGTCGACCCCTGTGGCGGGCCCGCGGACCACGTTTCAGGATAAGCAGTGCGATTTAGGATAAACAGCTTATCCAGAAACGCACAAGCTGCCCCAAACAGACCCTAAGGCTTATAGTTGAATCAAACGTCTCAACAAAACAAATCAAACAAAACGCACAAGCTGCCCCAAACAGACCCTAAATGGAGTGGATGACTTTGAAGAGATGATAAACCACTTGTGTAGACCACATTTGTTAGTCACACCAGAGAATTGCGCCCATACGTAGATTCTTCAAATGAAAATAGTAGATCAGAGCCCAAGAGAAATACAATTAACATGAAAAAAATGATATTAACGAATGTGACTTTTTCTTACATGCTAGATAAATGAAGGGATTTATTAAGTTAAAAGTATATGAGATGGTGGTTAAAGTTATCATTAAGTTAATCTGTGGTTATTATTATTACTTTTGAGATTACGATGCAAAATCTGTGACCTCATTTAACGATGTGGCCCTTGAATACTTCATGATTGACATTAATCATGATATGTTCAATGTGCTAGACAAAAATGATGAGGTCAATATATTGATGGATCGGTATTGCAAGAAACAAGATTGTGTGAGTACCAGGATTTTTTATTCCAAAGAGCTTATGGATTGGCATCGAGAGAAGAGTGGATGGTAGCATTATTTGTGAGTGTTGTAAAGTGGCATCTCTGTTCAATATTTTTTAGGGTACCTGTAAAATGAGATTGTGTCTCACAAGCATTTTTCACCTCTAAAATTGTTTGATATTTCACACCCATGTCATCAAGAATCCTAACCATGAATTCTTCATCATCAATGCAATCATTACTTATGTAAGATCCATTGATGATTTTTCTCTTAATGTGACCTTAGATATTATTAGCATAAATATTAGTTAGGGTGATTCAAAGTTAACATGACATAATGCTACCATAAAAAAAGATGATGAATGCATGAGAAGACTATCACTAATAATAAAGTAGTGTTGGTGTTTTCATGCTTTGCAAGCAAGTTTGGGATGTGGATGTCATGTGATGATGGTGGATAAGAGACATGGATTTGTACCATTAATAAAATCTTCTAGCTAAGACCCTTCTAGAAGCTTAAAGACCTGAATGTTCAAACTTACGTCGTTGGTTGTAGTGCATTTAATGATTTGAATAGATTGATTATTATGAGTGATTAATTGAATTCAAGTTGATTTCAGAAGATAATGTGAAATGTGGCTTAGTTGGAGGGGAGATAGGGTGCCTTAGATTAAAAGAGAATATTAATTGGCCTCAACAAATGGCTCTAAATTCCTCTTGATTTTAAAGAAGATTGTTTCTTAAGAATGGAGTTTGGGGGTTGCAATTAAGAGAGAAATGTGACGTTATGAGTAATTTTTTGGAGGTGGATTGTGTATTGTAGATAATTAAATGTTCCTCAAATATTTTATCTTTTTTTATTCCATCAAGTTTTCTTTGAATTTTAGTTTCATTTATTATGATGACATTCATTTGATCAAATAGTGTACAAATTGTGGTTTGTCCGAGATTGAACTTTGTACTCTGATTAAGAGAGAATGTGAAGACAATAAATATGAGAAAAATGTTGTTTTATTTCTTAATGAGAGAAGATTTGAAAAGACTCAAATACCATTCATTTCTATAATTATTTTTTGTTCTCTTCACGCTATATTTTTTGCAGATATAGTAACTTTAAAGGATCAACAAATACAATTTTTTTATGTTTAATGTTACTTTTGAATTTTAGCTCAAAGGAAGTAAAAATATATAAATTATATTTATAATTATAAACTATTTTACAGAAACGCATAAACACACACAAACACACAAAAAATTATAGTCATAAATATACTAATAGCAAACAATATATATTCTACAAAAGATTTGACTTTATTGGCCTAAGTATGTTTCATTCATTCAAATACAAAGTTGATATAATTCATAGTTGATTTTTTCAAAGTCTTATGAACTTACATGTGAATTACATCATAGAGAATATAATAGCCATCCTAAGAACTAAGCTTGCAAGTTTAATTATTAGTTGAAATAATTACCGCTACTGACATTGTAAAATATGTTTAGAATATCTGTCATCATTTGTAAAAATAGTTACATAGTTACATAATAATATTGTGATTATATATATATATAATTATTAAGATACTACCAAAATTTTCATTAATAATAAAAAAAATATCAGACAACAAATTTTTACACAATATCTCTTTGACACTATATTACCTTAGGCACTTAATTATTACACATCAAAACTTTTCAGGATTTCCCTCGAAATTGCCACTGAAATTGCAATATTATAAATTGCCCAACAGAAAAAAGACAAACACTACAACAAATGAAAATACAACAAAGATAACTTATGATGCAAAAGCTACCAAATGATAAGAACAGATAACCTAACAAACGCCAAATTATTTGCAATAACTAAATTAAATTGATATAACATCATTGCAAAGGAACTTTCGATATGGAGAAATCAACCAAAAGATGCCAACCAATCATGTTCCTGCCAATAGCGTGCGATTGATTTTTAATATACTTTACCCATTTAAATAATTAAAATGATTTAGCTATATATCTATATAACTAAAATGCTAGCAAGGACATGTATCTTTTATATGGCGTCATATATATATATCGCTGATATTACTTATTAGAAATAGAAGATGATGAAAATAGGCTATGAGCGTTGAATCTATTTATATAGCAGTGTATTTTATTTTATTTAGGTTTATTGTAAAAATAAATTCAAACCTTAGTCTGATCTACACGTTATAAAATATATGCCATTCTTAAAAGCCACTAACAGTCCTTAATTTCAACACTTGATTTTATCATGATTTAATAGACATAAAATTGCAAACAATATATGTTTATAATTAATATTAGGAAGATAGCACTTAATTCCAATGTACTTACATATCTAATACAAAAACTTCAGTTTTTACACATAAAATCTAAAATATAGATATTAGATGTATATAAATAGAAATTGGGCGGTATTTAAAAGAAAATTTACAAAATTGTTTTTGTAATTTTATATTTGTTCTCTTTGCTCTCCACTTCCTTAAAGATCATCCCCGGCAGCCACCCTCTTCACCATCCCCTTTTCCTCACTTAAGTGTGGCTCGCTTTCTTCTTCTGTGCTTGGCTAATAGAATAATAAAAATATGAAGGTTGGTTACTTCATATTGTTCTTTTCTTTCCTAATTTGTTCTCTCAGTGACTAAATGATAATCTTTTATCTTCTGATTATCTTTAACTTGAAACATAGCTTCTGGGTTGGATGCACCGCAAGTTTTGGCAGAACAATGGCGATACTGGCAGAGACCTCGCCACTGGTGAGACTACATCTCAATCATCTCTTTTTATAATATTAGTAAATTATAATGAACGAATAATTCTTTTTATATATATATAATTTCAAAAGTTAAACTTATTTTTTTAGTTATTGCAAAATTTAACTTAAAAAGCTAAAAAAAATGTGCATATTATACGGATATATATAGGATAAACGATTTAAATCTACTAAATTTGTTTATTAGAGTAAATATTTTAATTAATATTTATTTGTTTTCTTAATTAAGTTTACTACAAAATTCAACGTAATAAAAGAATTTTTAGCCATATTTACAAATTTAATAATTTAATTTAAATATTTTTTTACTGATTAAGCCAATGTCATTTGTAAACTGATTAAACTAATATTGTTTAAAGATTTTGAATTTTTTTCTTTGACAGAATTTCTTGAAAAAAAAATGCATAAGAATATTGTGACAAAATTTTGATTTTTTCGTGTATGTGTGTACATATACATATACATTAATATAATATTAAAAAGTTGTTAATTCATGTGTGTGTTTAACATTCCTCAACAATATAGATCATTAAATAATTTACCCAAAACCCAATTATTCTGAATTTCTAATTTAGTCACTTCTAATGTTTATAAACATGTATTTGACCTCTTGATTCCAACTGCATTAATGGTAGTGTTAAGGAGCACTTACGCAATTACTTAAAAAAAGTCAAACTGTTCTGACTAAAATTTTGATAATTCTTCTCGTAGATCTATTTAAAAATAATATAATATCAACTACTCATACATTAAACTCATTTCAGCAAAAATTTGAAAACAATACGACCGTTAGAAACTTATCATTACCAATATTGTATATACAATCATCTTAAATTCACCACACCTCTTAATTCCAAGCCTTCTACTTAACTCGGTGTAATGCTCCGCAGTGTCCTACTGCTTACACTGCATCTCCGGCATGCCCTCCCCGGAGCACCTCCTCCCCAATCCACCGCCACCAGTTCACCGGAAAGATTTACTCCCGGCTGAAACAGAATCACCTGAATTAAACGCCTCCATTCTCCTTGACGGCTTGCTCCACATCGGAACCTTCGGCTCCCCGATCCTATTCCGCGAAAACGGAACACCTGCAATCACAGCGAACGAAATAGCAGGGAAGGAAACCGAGATGCCAACGGAGAGCGAACTGATAGCAATATCAGTGGAACTTGGGAAGGTGATTGCCGAAGAGTCAGAAAATGAGAAGAAATCCGGCGAAAGGGTTTCGTCGGCGAGGCCAAGCTATGCTGGTCCCTGCGGCGGGAAGGTATCGGATGTTTGCCCTCTGCAGGATTTTCTGTTCGGGTCAACTGTTGAGGCGGTTGAGAAGAGGCGGCGGGGTTCGTTGGGAGAATTGTTTATGAGAAGCAGAGCGGCGGAGGAAGGTGGCGGCGGCGGGGCGAAGAGGAAAGGGATTTTGATTGCGGATGAAGAAGCGGTGAAGTTGACGCCGGAGAGGGAGAAGATGAGCGTGGAGACGAAGGGTATGCTCAAGTTTGGTGGTGAGCCTATTGGCAACGGCGGCTCTTGTGGAACGGAGACGATTCAAAATGTAAGTACTGCAATTTTGTTCATGGGACACGTGCACGACTGAATTTTATTTTAGCTGCGTGAATTTCAATATATGGGACACGTGTACTCTCGTTCACTCTCTTGATTGATATATTTTAATGCTATTTTCAATCATATAATAATATAAAATTTTATTGGAGTAAAGTGTCAAAATAGTCTCCAACTATTTACAACTATTTATGTGAGATTGATTTATTTCTAGAGTTTATAGAAATATCAAAATTATCAATAGATTCTATAATTGAGTTTAAGATAGTCTCGATGACTATAGCCAATGATTATTTTGACCTTACTATGATTTTTTTTTACTAAAGTGGTCCCTATAAATAATTGGAGACTATATTTTGATCGGTTGTTCTACCACCGTTGGACACCATTACCCATCTTTCAAACAATATGATTTTAAAATAAATGATTAAATAAAGAAAAATTTTCATGCATACAACACAATTCTTTTATATATTTACTATAGACCATCTGATGTTGTGGATGGTGGTGAGATCTGCAAACTTTATGGCGCAGAATGTTGGCCTTTAAAAGAGAAGCATAAACAAGTTAAGTGTTGTTGCGATGAGAATGCATAGGTGGATGATGAGTGTTGTGAAAAACGACGGCAATAAAGAGAAAAGTCTGATCGAGAAAAATCATAAAAACAGAAACACAGCTGAACACACAGATTTACGTGGTTCGGTAAATTGCTTACATCCACGGAACTGCAGTAGATTTTATTTCTTCGAGAAAATTACACCGTCGTTGATTTGACGTTTACAAGAAAGAGCTATCTCTCTCTACATTCCTCTCCCTTACCTTCTCTCTCCTCTCCTTCTCTCTCTCTCTCTTTTCTTTCTCCTCTCTCTTCCCTGCCCATGTGAAAGAAGGATTAAAAAAGGAAAAAAAAACAGACTTTTGTTTCCCTGTAAGCCGAAGGAAAGATGAAAGAACAAACACAGTTTCTTTTCAGGCCCCATTTGGGGCAGATTATTTTGCTGCGACAGCATTTTGAAAACGTCGCTGCATAGTTTGTTTGGGCGTTCGTAAGAGCGTTTTGGAATCGTAGATATCCATTGAACGCGGAGGCCTAGTTCTGTTCGACGTTAGCTAGGGCTTATCGTGCGTTATTGTCCTCTCGTGCCCCTGATTTCTCTCTCGTGCTCTCCCTCGTGATCTCCTTCACCGATCTCGTGCGTAAACTTCTGGTGAGATCGCCGCACTCCTTTGCTCTCTTTTACCGATCTATATGTGGCTGGAAGGTTTTTTTTTTGTGTTTTTTTGGTTTTTTTGAGGGCTAGAAGGAGACTTCGAAGCTTTTAGGTTTCTTATTATGATCTAGAAATGGAAATTCGAAATGGATCCCATAAGTTTTGGTTTTTTTGGATTTTTAGCTCTTGTATTTGAAGATTTGGGCTTTTTTAGAACTGAATATGTCGAAAATTTTGGGAGAGAAGGAGGCCCTACTAAAATTTATTCTTGAAATTCTTGGTTTTGGTGTTCGAGCTTTCCTTGGCCTTCTTTTGCTGTTGAAAAGAGATTTGATTGAGGTCTGTCTTCTTCCCCCTCCTCTGTGCCCTTTTAGTCTTCTGTTTTGCTCGACCAAGGTTGCTTCAGGGTGGCACCTTTGGGCGAGAATGACATGCTGGTGGAATGTGTTTTAAATGCTTTATGATATTCAGTTAAAAGTAGGTTTATGAGGGAGGTGTAGTTCAGTTCTCAAGCATGTATAGGTTGTCTACTTATCATATTTTTACCTATGTAGTGATATTTGGCGGCTAATCTAGGCTTCAAGAAGGGTTGCCTTCATCTTTGTTTATGCTGAACTAATCTATCATATGCTGGAAGAAAGTATTATTTAGGTGGTTGATTTGTGAAAATCTAAAATTTTGATGACTCAAGTTGGCTCTCCGTGGCCGCCTTCTTTGCTTGCCACACATTCGTGAAATGCCAATAAGTTATTCTAAATAAGCTGCCCCAAACAATTTTATCAGACAGGGGCAAGAATGTCATTTAACTACAATTAAGCTATTCTGAATAAATTATCCTAAACAACAAGACAGATTATTCTGATAATCCGCAGATTATCGGATTATCAGAATAAGCTGTTTATCAGCAAAAGCTGGAAAGTTGCAGCTGCCCCAAAAAGACCCTCAGCCTGAAGAAGGGAAAAGAAAAGTAATTATCTTTTCTTTCTTTTCTCTCTGCACACTTCAACCGAAAGAGAGGAGGTGTCTTTATCTCCCTACCAGCCGATGCTTTTAAAAGGCTTCTCGTTTGACCCATAAGGCAAGCATTGCGACGCGGGATCGAGTGGAGGAGCGTGGGAGAACATTTGCAGAGATCTTCACGCGGTCACGTGGTTCAGTGTAGAGACACGCGGGATTAGCAATTTAAGAAAGTTTAGGCTTTCCTTAATCTCAGATTTAGAAGAAGCAGGAGGAGCAGTCCAAACAAAGAAAAATCAGCATTTTAATTTCTTCTTAATATCAGTGGACCGACTCCACCTTCCCCAACAATTCTCCCACTTGGAAACTGTGACACTGACTATATCATCCACTGACTGCATCATCCTTTTCCTCAAACTTGATATCCTTCACCTCTGCAACTTAAAACCCTAGTCCTCATGTCAGAAGACCAACTGAAGCTGCACACAACTTCAGTTTCTCAAGAGTAACAACCTTAGTTGACATATCACCATCAACGTAACATTGTACCTCTAAGCTCTTTTCTGTGTTACTCATGAATCTACTTACAACTCCTACTGCATGGGTAACATCTCGCCTCAGCTGAAAGCCTTTCTCAACAATTCCAGTCATGTACCTCTTATTGTCATCCAACGCAGTATTTACCCAATACACCCACTTGTTATGCAATTTCTTCTTCCCTGGTAGAAGTTCTTTCAGCTCCAACTTGCTCAAAATTTCATTTTGCAAGATTTCTTCATAGCTCTGTGGATCTCCATCATCTGTCCGTACAAGATCTGATTTTTCCGCCTTTGACATTTTGTCACATTGCACAAAACTGACTTTCTTCAGCTTCCCCATAATGCTCCTCTAACTCATGTGTCCACGTCTGAGTAAACATGTAGTCATATATAGTGTGTCAGTTTTCTTGCCCCGAGCCAGTACTAATGCTCATTTAGTCACCTTCCAGGTACAATTTGAGAACACTACTGCATGACCACCCTCATTGAGTTGCCCAACAGAAATGAGGATTTTCTTCAACTCTGGAACAAGTATGACCTTTTGCAAAGTTCATTTGCACTTGTTAGGAAGTGCAATATCAACGTCTCACATTCCCACCACGTCCAATGCTTTTCCATCAGCCAGATGTACTTTCCTAAAGTCGCTTGCAACATAATTTTGCATCAGCTCCAGGTGGGACGATGTATGGAAGGAAGCCCCTGAATTCAGTATCCAGTCATCAATAAAACTGTGAACTGTCAATAATAGTGCATCATGTATTTCTTCAGTTACAATATTAGCGTCATATTCTCTTTTTTGAGATTCCTGCAGTTCCTTTTTATGTGATCAGTCTTGCCACAATTTCAGCAGGTTCCCTGCTGATCAGACTTTGATTTCGATCTTTCTCTGTTTGAGTTCTTGTCCTGTGATCTATCTCTGGAATCAACAATCAGTGTCGAACTCGAACACGAGGTCTCGCCAGAATCTTTCCTGCACAACTCCTCAGCCAAAATCAAATTGTGAATATCATCATACTTAAGTTTAGATTTACCTACAGAACTGCTATCTGTCATCCTCATGGTTTCTCAGCTATTTGGCAATGAAACCAACAATATCAATGTACGTATCTCATCATCAAAATCAATTTCAACAGGCGACAATTGATCTGTGATATTATTGAACTCATTCAGGTGTTGAGCAATAAACATACCTTCCGCAATCTTCAGGTTGAATAACTTTTTCATCAGGTGCACCTTGTTATTCGCTGATGTCTTTTCATACATGTTTGATAAAGTCGCCATGAGATCTGCTGTAGTCTTCTCCTTGATTACGTTGTGGGCAATAGATCTTATCAATCGAATAACCCCCAGAACCTGTCAATCCAACAAATTCCATTCCACCTCGTTCATCTTTTCCGGCTTCTTTTCCAATAACTGAAGATGAAGTTTCTTCCTATAGAGTTATTCATATATCTGCATCCTCTAGTAACCAAAATCTATGTCGTTGAACTTCTCGATTTCTGATGCTATCACTTCGTCTCCTCCCATCGTTCTTCTTTAAATCTGAATCAAAGCTTTGATACCAGTTGTTGTGAAAAATGACAGCAGTAAAACAAAAAGCCGGATAAAAAAAAATCACAAAATAGAAACACAACGGAACACACAGATTTACGTGGTTCGGCGAATTGTCTACGTCCACGGAACTGCAGAGGATTTTATTTTTTCGAGAAAATTACACCGTCTTCTATTCAACGTATACAAGAAATAGCTATCTCTCTCTACATTCCTCTTCCTTACCTTCTCTCTCCTCTCCTTCTCTCTCTCTCTCTCTCTTCTCTTTCTCCTCTCTCTTCCCAGCCCACGTGAAAGAAGGATTAAAAAAGGAAAAAAAACAGACTTTTGTTTCCCTGCAAGCTGAAGGAAAGAGGAAAGAACAAACGCAAAGTTTCTTTTCAGCCTGAAGAAGGGAAAATAAAAGTAATTAGCTTTTCTTTCTTTTCCCTCTGCACACTTCAGCCGAAAAGAGAGGAGGTGCCTTTATCTCCCTGCCAGCCGATGCTTTTAAAAGGCTTCCCGTTCGACCAATAAGGCAAGCATCGCAATGTGGGATCGCGTGGAGGAGCGCGGGAGAATGTTTGCGGAGATCTTCATGTGGTCACGCAGTTCAGCGGAGAGAGACACATGATTAACAATTTAAGAAAGTTTAGGCTTTCCTTAATCTCAGATTTGGAAGAAGCAGGAGAAGCAGTCCAAATAAAGAAAAATCATCATTTTAATTTCTTCCTGATTTTAGTGGACCGGCTCCACCTTCCCCAACAGATGAGTGGCTTGACACTTAGAGACAAAAT